CAGCTTATAACAAAGATTACAAATCTAAAAACACAATTAGATGACTCCCCGGAATATTCAAGAAGTCCAGGATAGATTAAAGAAGGCATTCATTCAATGGTCCTTACGTTGGCAGCCCACGAAACGTTCAGGTAGAACTAGACAGATTACGTCAGATAGTCACTATGCTTGCCACATCATATTGTACTAATCATTTAGGCAGATCATTTCAATTTAGATACAGAATTCAATCTTCTTCCGAACTTGATACAGAATACTTGGAGAAAAATAATACCGAGCCGTTAAGTTAGTACAAAATAGACAATTCTCCAAGATAGAAAAAAGTTTCTCATATTAATCAGGTAGAGTAGGAAACTAAAACTTTAGAATAAATATTCCTTACCACACAAAACCCATATCCATTAAGATCTATCTGGCATTCTGCTAGAATCAGTAGAGCCCATCCTTCTTTGTGAGACCTATTAAAAACACAATAATTACTCCTAATACTGGAGCAGTATGATGATATCATTTTATCAGTCCAATTATAAGTTCAAATAGGATTAGTAATATTTAAAACACAAATAATAATCCAAATAGTGTTATATTAATTTCAAGGACAAATAATGGTATTATTTTAAATTACTATACTGACTCACTTTCGATGACTATGGTGTGATATACCTCATGTGTTTTATACTTCCATCTTTAATATTCTCTGTTAATGTATTTATCAAAGTCAAAATCAAATAAATTATACATCAAATACAAAAAATATTATAGAAAATGTTGAATAACTAATTAAAGCAATTTTAAATAGTTCCTTTAAAAAGCCATGTAAAAATTTCAGTTCACAGCTCTTGCAAAATATTTAATGTTACTTAAAAATATTTACGTTAAGACTCTTCTTTCGATGCATACAGTTAAGATTCGGCAAGTCGAATAAAAAAACTTAATAATATATATTATTCATATAATATAAAGATAGTAAAAGTTTAATAAAGGATTTATAGACCTATTTCAATTTCAGATTTAAAGTACATTGATAAATTTTGAAATTAGATATTGCAAAGACATTTGATTCCCAATACAATCAGCGAATCGTGACCACTGTTAAAATAAGCCAAGCTTTGTGTGTTATTCATCTTGCTAACAGCTGCCTTATTAACTCTCTTAAATGGGGTTGCGAATTTTTAGGTTATAGGATTCGTGTCTTCCATATCGGGGAATGCGACGAAATACATATAGACTGGACAAAATACATATATATGCTAGACTATGAAATGCTGTTTTGATTGATTTACCTATAGTATATGTAAAATATATTTATGTTGAGAGATTTGGATAAGTTCTATGTTATATTTTATGTGAAATTTAAGAATTCGCTCCAACTTTCCTAGAAAATTGATTTAGACTGATAATAAAATAATTTGGTTTGCAATGACGAGCATTTTATCTGCTTTAGGTGTGAAATCCAATCTCACCTTTGTACAAATTTGTAGAATGTATGTATAAAAGGTTTAAACACAACTAAATATTTCTGTTAAGAAGTAAATTAGATCAGATTTTGAAAAGTTTAGGAACTATGTCACCACGTTACTGCATCCTTTGAGGATTAGTGTGACAAATCCATTTTAGTTCCCATAGCAGTTAAAAATGATATTATGTCCTTTGGGGGAATGTTGTCTAATGCTATTATAAGTGCATAGGCAGTGAAGATTTTACGAATAAACTACTAGTTATTGACCTTGGGCCTCCAGTAAACTGTGGATACCGTGAAGTGTGTTTCTATAAGCAAAAGTGACTCTCTGCAGTCATTGGTATAAAGGCCATCTTGTCTTTTAGAAACCCAAAGGGATTAGTGTGGCTTTTCGAGATAACTCTGAGGATTTTAGCGCTATTGCTTAAGTGTTGAATCTCAGAGCAGAAGCTTCCCCATGATACTTGTTTTGTACTTCTGATTTCCTTATTGTAGGCGGTGAGGGCGGTGTTATAATATATTTTTAGTATTGTTAAAAACTCTCCGGAACTCAATTCTAAGCATAGCTGCGAAACGATCAGTGGTACCACAGCGGAGGGGGGAAACAAAGGTGATGCTCACATATGTCGTGGGCATTTTTCCACCCTGAAACACTTTTAGAATGACATCCGGGAATGGCTAAAGCTTTGGGACACAATTTTTCAGCCAATTTTGCATTCTGCCATCTGTCTACTTTTGTTTAGGAACTTAATCAATTTCTTTTTGAAATTAGCGTAGCTTTGATTTTATTAGCTCCATTTGATCATCAGTAAGATGTACCTCTGAATACTTTTTATGGGCAATAGCCGCTTTGCAGGCGGTGGTACGGTCCCTGTAAGATGGAGTCAGGATCTGCTGGTGTTCGATCGAGCTGGTCGACCGGCTTTTGGCATTTTGAGCTGAGGGCGTTGTGCTTCTTTGGAAAATGTGTTATTTGACCTGCATCTTTTGCTAGTGCTGGGTCTGTCGCTTTCTCCTTCGGCCGCCAGGGAGACCTTCTTATGACCTGATTTCATTTCTTCTGATTTTTGTAAGCTTGATATCATAATGTAACTGCCAATTCCACTATCAACATTTGACATGCTAATCTGATTCAGACGCTGAGTTAGCTCCACCAATGTTTTCGTGGTTCTTAGAATTCTTGACTCTGCCGCATGAGAGGTGGTAAATTAACAATAAGTAAATTAAAAACAATTAGCAAAAAACAAAGTTGCAATGAACTAAATTAATGAAATATATTTTGGACATAATTTTTAACATATTCCGCTTTGAATTTTGTAATTCAATTTATTATGGTGATATTATACAATATGTTGTTGTAATATCAAAAGTTGAACTCGGTCTTCTTAGCTTCTGAGACATTTGTATATTTGGTTGATCTGCACGAATTTATTTATCTTTAAGACAATGATTCCAATAATTAAAAACAAGACTGCGTTCACTACTGATCAACTATGCTTCTCAGTTCAAGTTTGTGATTGGGTCGCTTTAAAAGGTCTTTTTTATTATTCACCCCAAATGCCAATTGCAGAGATTATACACTATCTTCTTTAAAAATGATCAGCGTATTTCTTCATTATTTTTAATTCCAATTCTCCAATTTCTTAGAGTTAAGGGCTGTAGTATTATTGTTTAGACTAGTTCGCCTTGCGAGATTTACGAATAGCAGCATTACAGTATACCATATAATAGTATTCTGAATGAATTTTTGAGATTTATTTTGGCGGATCAAATTAATGTCATAATCATTTGAGATTAATGGTACTTCCTTTGTAGTTTGTTTACACTCAGGATTTACCGGATTAATACAGAGGTACTTGTTGAATGCGCCTGACCACTTAGAAAGAACCACGTAGAAAAAGTGTACTATATAACCATAAGTTAATTGAGATGGTTTTATGACGCGTGATAATGAGTCAGCTGAATTGTCCCTGATGCCTCTGCTAATTCAAGCTAATATCCTCGATTGTATTGATTCAAAGAAACGTTGTTGCTACATGATTCAGATTGTTTTTGACCTTTTTTATCAGTGTTGCTCCTAAAAGGGCTGAACACAGTTCTAACAGGAGACTCAAAGCATAGCAGTGAATTTATTAGTCAACCATTCATTAATTTTACTTGAACGCAAACGCGGCTCGGGTTGTAATATTTAATTCTGTTAGTTTTTAAAACTGTATAAGTTCAGATTAAACTTTAGATGCATTTCTATGTCTTGGAGTTTTTGGTTAATTTCGAATTATAATTCCCAAGAGTATCTCTCAATGGTTTCTACTGAAGAAAAATTACATACTTTTGTGTTGTTATCATTTAATGATTTGCAACCATTTTCCATCAAAGCAAGGTTGCAAGAATAAAACACTTCAGATTAGAGTTCTTGGCTTGCTACTTCAATATTTTGACTGTTTTTTTTAATGATATTTATGAGTGCTCGTTGATTGCGCAATACTCTTGATGATTCTTTATCGCGCCGAAGTTACTTTGATTAAACAGTTTTTAGGTCGTGAATTTTACCTTCAATTAATGCCCTGTTAAATATATCTAGGCATATGTTTGCCAGTATAGTTATCCTTTCATAGTATTCCGTTACGAATTAGTAAACATCTTTACTTTCAGTATTGACTTTACGTGATAGTATGGTTATTGTCTAATCTCGTCTATTGTTCAGATAGCCTTTGAATTCTGTTTTTGAAATACCGATCAGTCGTTCTGACTACTGTCACTGGCTTCAATCACTTGTTGTTGGGTAATCATTGTATCAAATTCTTTCATGAAGATACAATTTCTTAATAAGTTATCAATCCGGGGTCACCAAAATGTTAAATATGCGTTTATCTTTAATTTTCTACTAATATAAATGTTAATGTTTATACTGAGTATTTTTGATTTTGAAAGATTTTGTTAGCCTGCTTTTCGGACAATTTGAGATTCGTCTGACATTGGAAGAACTTTATCGAGAGGAAATAAAAGTTTTAGGAGATAAGTTGTGGTTTATAAAGGATATCAGATTCTTTTTATAAAGGCTAAAAATACGTTATTCAACTTGATCATTTTGTACTTACAATAACACAATATTGCATGATGCTACTATACCAGATTGAAGATTGCTTTAGCTACGATAATTTACAATAAATATTATCATATAGAACTATAAACATTTTAACAATGAAAAGTGCTGACGCCATATGTGGTCCACCACCTTGGATGTGGTTAAAAAGTGCATGTATGAATTTCCGTGGTTTTTGATAATATCTTAGATTTTGTTTATATTTATTATATTACATTTAATTTCTTTATATATTCTTATTAAAATTGCATAAACGTTTTCAATTTATATACCATATAAAAGTTATATAATATAAAAAATATCTTGACAAACGTAATATATCAGCATATATTTAACATTAATTTTGTATTAATTCCATATGATTACGAAGAAAATACAATATTGTATAGTTCGAATAGTATATATTTATATAAATGATAAAAAAAATTTTTTTTGCAGATGTCAAGCGGGTACAGGAAGATGCATTGTTGATAAGGCACACCGGAACCAATGCCAGGCTTGCCGCTTAAAAAAGTGTCTACAAATGGGAATGAACAAAGACGGTATATCAACATAACTAATATAATTACTTATAATTATTTTTGTTTATTTTTATTTATTTTTTGTTATATTGTGTTCGTTAAATTTTCTTATTAATCTTATGCGAGCTTTACAGTTTTAAAAAGTATATTAAACCCTATCTATATAATGTCTATTTGGCCTTTAATTGTTTAGAGCGTCGATGTATTTAAGGGATTTTCATTGTGGTCCTTAGTTGAATATGTATTATGATGGTATATATTTAACTTTTCATTTCATTACTTTGTGAGGTCCGTTATAACGTGTCTTTATTAATAAATTACTTGGTCAACAAGAAAATAATGGTATATAGAGCTTCCGGGATATATTAAAAATAGCATGTGGTTTTGCGCTAATATTAGTTTACTGTGCTGATCAATTCATGTAGTCTATAACCAAATTCTGAGGCAGTACCCTTGTTAAATGTTGGACTCACGAAGGTAATATGGGTTTTATAAAATTCATTTCGTGGAGCACTCTCTTGTAGTTGCTTTAAAACCTTTTGTGAAGATACTACCCCAGTAAAATAATTATATGTGCAGTACTTGAAATCTGTTTAAATCCAACAAATTTTGTTAGGGTGAATTTAGTTTATTATTTGTTTTTATGTTTAGTAGTCTAATTAAAATAATAAAAAAATTTTATTCAAATTTATTTTTGTTAAGAAAAAAATTAACTTTATTTTAAATCTTCATAGAAAATATTTATATGTGCAATTCACATTTTTTGCTAAAAACAATTAATTATTTTATGTGATTTATTTTTTTTTATTTTTCAATAAGGTAATGTGTTTCCATTATTTATTTTTTTTAACTGTATCCTAAGTGGCATTAATTCCACCAATTTTTTTAATAGTAGAAGGTCAATTTGGGCCCATTCGTCCAGTATGTCCTTTTTCAGCTCTTTAAGAGTGTCGTATTGCTTCGACTAAGCATAAATATTGGCACTAAGAATACCCCAAAGATCCTCTGTTGGATTTATGTCAGAACTCATGGCCGGCCAATCTAGCAATGGGATGCTTCTCTCTTCAAAGAATTTCTTCGTAGCACAAGAAACATGTATTGGAGCATTATCCTGTTGGAAAGTCCAATTATCTCAATGAATATTTTCAGCGAAATTTATCAGTTCGCTATCCAACAGATTTATGTATATTTCCGAATTCATTTTTGATGGTACGAAGCATATATTAGACTTTCCCTTCGAGCTAAAGGCAGTCCACACCATTAGTGAACCACCACCATGGTTGCGTTTGTTGCAATTCTGACGTGGATGACGAATATCTTTCCAATATTTATGTTGACCATCTGGACCGTCTAGATTAAACTTTTTTCCATCACTGAAAACAACTGCTTCGAACTCCTCGTCCCAAAACTTATTTTTGTCATAAAAAGCTAAACGAGCATTTTTATATCTTTGTGTAAGGCACGGTTTGGGAACTTTCGACTCATATTTCAGCTTTAAGTCTTTTCTCATAATTTGTTGCATGCGTTGCCTAGTGATAGACAAATCTAATTCATTTCTTATTTGTCTGCAACTCATCCTCTCATTGGTAGCAAGAAGCTGAATATGCCGTTTTGTTCGGTCGTTAATAGTTGGTAAGCGGCCGCCTCGCTTATAACACCATAGTTTCCGAGATTTTTTAAGAAGTTTATTATAGTATTGAGGTGTCTATAACCAGCAGCAGATATTTCGCCAATTTTCATCCCAGCACGACTCATTCCAATAATCTTTCCGCATTCTTCACTTGAAAGTTCCATCCCACGCGGCATTTTTTATCTAAACTTAATTAAAATCATAAATATTTATTAATAAATAATAAGTATTTTACTTACCAATTGTTCTTTACTCTTCAATACTTTTAAAAAAAAACTTTATAATACACTTCACAACTTTATTTCCATTTACTGTTGACACTTCGAGAAGCAAAATAATTTTGCACATATAATTATATTCTATTAAATTTGCTACCTATTGTTACTAGTTATGATAACGGTACCACAAATAATATACAAAAATAACTCCATATATGATCAAAGAAGTTAAACTCAACTACAGATTTAGCTGTATATAAAAAAAATAGTACCATTATTCTAAGAAGAGAATAACGAAAAACAAATTTTGCACATATAATTATTTTACTGGGGTATTTATTGTATTCTTCATATACATATATTTGAGAAGTATTTTTTCGTAAACAGAAAGATACAAAGAAGAAGTCAAATTATGAAACACTGTCCGTGACACTCATAGTAATATACAATGCGTGTGGTCATAAAATATGATACTAAAAACGCTAATATTATTAAGTAATATTTCTAGCTCATATTATTATTTTGATTATACATACGGTATATTAATTTCAGTTTTAAGATCAGACTTTGATTACAGCTTTTTAATTTTAATTTGAGTTTCTCAATATTTTCGTCGGGATTCATAGGCGTTTGCGAAGTTTTCACTTGATTCGTTTTCGACATTCATGCACGTCATGCATTTCTGATGGAAAAAATATTTAATATTTGTCATAGGTGCGCATTGACACCTATGAGTTTTGGCAATTCGATCTTAGCACTTCCTAGTAGAGTTTTGTTCCCAATAAATTGTAGTTTATTCACATTTGTTTCTAATTTCATAGCCCGTCGAAATTCTTCGTTTATGTTTTAAAGCTCTTGAAAATTATTATTGATATATTTTTAAGCTCCTTTAAACACCTAAGATCATTATCTATTGTACCGCTGAGGACGGTTCTTCTTGTAGCCTAATTAGTTCATACCTTTAATTAGATGTATAATAATTAGACATCAGAATTCTATAAAATTGCATATTTGTATTTTCCATCCTAGTAATGTCGAATCTCGACACAAATATGTTTAATAATGTGTAAGCATATTTTAATATTTGCATATGTTTTGCATATATTCGGCATTTTTGCATCTTGATAGATATACAATACATACATACATATTGTATTATGCCAATTATGCAACTGTTCCTTGGGTGCTCCTTCCCCGGTTTCTGAGTATACTTACCATATATATTGTTGATGATGTATATGGTTTATATAATGTATATATATTGTATATTTAATGATTTGATGTTCTGTAATTTTCCATTTCAAAGACTACATTTAACTGATAGTTTTAATATTATATATATTCAAAACATTTTACGCTGTATCATTTTCAAAATATAAGCTGTATATTTGAATTTTGCTAAAAAAATACATAAGAATGTATTTTTTTCGAATTTATTGCTTTCATATTTACTGTATATTTTTTGCCTGTACATTTTGCATATACAATTGCGCAAGATTCGAAACAAGGCTGTGGAACACTGTTAGACACAGTTTTCAAAGTTATGGAATCTTCTTCTTCTTATTTGGCACTACACTCCAGTGTGAACCTTAGCTTGCTTCTTTTTTAAAGAAGTTGCGGAGCGGGTAAAGAAGATTTCGATGCATGGTTATTGACCTTTTGATCAACCCGCAACCTATAGGACCAGATACTGTGCAAATCTGGAGATAAAACTGGTGTTTGGTAGCTAGAGAGTATCTCCTATGCTAAGTGTTATCAGATAATACTCCTGAATAAGTGTTAAAAAACCCATAGCAAAAACTTACGAAGCGAGCATTTTGTGTTACATAAACATCTTCCGCAAATCGTGATACAAACTGTATAATTTAATCGGGAATGCACGCTTCTAATAGTGATAGATGATGCTTTCCTCATGATATACAAAATATAATTTGAATTACAATTTATATATCAGCAACAATTTTTTCACAACAAAAAAAAAAAAGAAAATTCGAACATCGTCGAACTATCCTAAAGGTTTGTAATGCGATTTTAAGGATTAGCGGTTAATGAATCGTCTCAATGCTGACAGGGCAACAATAAAAAATAATGTTTTCATAGTATTACAAATATTTATATGACGATGTAGTAAATTGTATAATTTTTAATTAGAATATCTACACCAAACAACGAAACCCATTAAAAAATTATACCAAATAACATAAATTAATTAAGTGTAATTTGTATATTACTTGCAAAGTAAGAGACGTTCTTCCAATTTTTTATGTATATATATCTAAGCGTATAAATATAGAAGTACTATATTTCATCGGAAAAGTACAAATAGTACAAATAGTTATTTAACTTGTATTAAAAACGACATTTTTCGTACAAATTTACATTAGTTTATAAAATAATTGATTATAGTTTATAAATAATTATAAAAATGTTAATCAATAGTTAATCTAGAAAGTTTATTAGGACTATAATAATTTTCATTTTAATTTCTGTAATCTAATAACTTTTCTCGTAAGGCTTTTAAAAATTAATGGAAAAATCTATGTAAGAGGAATAGTTTTATTATTATCTAAACTTTTGATCTTGGTTCCTCCATTTGAACTACACACCTTGACATTGTTTTAAATTAGTTTTCAAAACCAAAATTTGCTAAGTAATTGTTTATAATATCTTTGTAAACACGTGACTTTAAACACATGCTGTGATTTACACACAACGATGCATTTGTTCTATTGTTGTCGAGAACGTAACACTTTTATAATTGTTTTATATGAAGTACTTTTTTGGTTTTCAAAGGAATAGTAAAAACTCATCACATTATTTAACACCTTATTTAAATTACTACTTTCAATAAAAGTATTTCATGCAACAATATTATTAATAATGTTTAGCTGTACAAAACGAACGCCAGCCGCGTAATACGGCGACAATAAGGCCTGAAACTCTGCGGGATATGGAGCATGGGCGAGCGTTACGAGAAGCAGCGGTGGCTGTTGGTGTGTTTGGGTAAGTTTGCAAACGTGTCTATCGTATCTAAATGTACATTCATTTAATCAATAATTACAGACCTCCCATACTTCTATCACCAACATGCTACGCTCCTGGCTTACTTCCAACATCAAGTAATACAATTAAATTTATTTTTTTTTATGTATTAATACATTTATTTTAGATCTGAC